ACAGAGAAGAGTGAGGTATTTATAATCATCTACACATGACTGACCGTTCTGTCTACCCTGATTGTTTGTTCCTGTTACCATCGATACTGTCACTATCACTACGATTTTCGGCTTTATTTGTCCTTACTAATGAAGTATGGTATGATGTACATACGCACCAGGTTTCACGTTGTGACTGATTGATTGACCCATCCTGTTGTTATATGCACATTTATTTTGATTGTCATCCGCTGTAACTTCATTTTCGATCTGGCTGCCCATGACTTTTTAATTATGTGAAAATCGGATCAATTCCGATACATTTATTGATTGCTAATGAATCTTAGTGCCAAGCTCCCGAAAGTTCAGTGGTCTTGGCATTCCTTCTATCAAAGATTTCGACATTTTCACGGTCAAACATACATAATTGTCTACGTAGATTGATATGCAAGAAAATACATCCTAGTGTTCGACAACTAGGTGATGCTGATGCATGTTAAGATCGTTCAATTTGCAATTTATTGCTTGTTGCAATTAAAGAAAGTCTAATTTATGCATGACATTTAAGCAACGCCAAAGTGACCTGGAGAATATTCTCCTACTTGCTATGGTTATAAGAGGGTCATAAGTTAGTGTGAAGTATTATGATCAGCGTTAACAATTGGACATTAGGTTTAGGAACTATGGTTTTCATCACGAACTGGCATAAGCTGTAGTGCTAAAAGGCTATTTAACCTATGGACAAATAAATTTTGCGCCCAAGATTCTGATTGGTCCGTCCATATGTTATAATCTCGCAACAATTGAAGCAAATAAATGTTAACTTTTCTACTTTCTCCATTTCATCCCTTTCGGTTTCCATAAGATTGGCTTGGTTTATGTTCTGCTTATATTCCGAACGCTCTCAATAACCTTGTTGTGACTTCTGATATGTCCTTCATATGTGGTAGGGTGACCTGTTTGTTGGTTTTCACACTTATTTTCGTTCCTGTTGGTAATAAGATTGTTTTATCATTTGAAATAAAAGCATCCTTTTGAAAAAATTGTACTAAAATAAGTAATACTTTCAGAAAATATGGTAAGTTTATGAGTTTGTATGATGATTTTTTTAAAAGAAACCGCATTGTTTGTAATGATAACATGTAGAAGAGATAAGAATATACAATCTAAATGTTGCGTCTTTTCGATTTTAAATCCTTGTACTTAAAATTCATGCAAACTTTCTATTTATTCGATTTTCTTGCATCGTTTAGGTTGATATGCTGAAGCTTGATGATGTATGCCTTGGATTTAGTGTTAAAGATCCTCATGTAAAGGCTGCAGCTATTGCGTTAAGATTGTTAAATATAGATCGGCTACGAAAATTACAGAACCAAGCAAATGCTAGCATAGTACATGTTCAAAAATTGACAGCAGACCCAAAAACTGACGAAAGACTTGGAAAAGTTGGCTTTTAATTTTTTCTTAATAAATAATTTGTTGAATGAACAGATTTCTCCATTGAAATTATTACTTTTAAAGTGAACGTTTTTTTGGTCTTATGATAGCTGAATATTGTGTATGCAGTCACTTCATGATGTCTCCTTTTGTTTTCGTATCGGTTTGTTTTCCTCGATGCGGATGTCTGGAAAACTAATTATTGTCGCTTTTTAAAGATGAAGCCAATGCTATTATCAGAGAGTTGATTAAAGTATTCAATATAGTATGGTGGTAAACTGCAAAGTACCATCATGCTAATAGTCTGTCATTACCTATATTTCTAGTCTGCAACTAGACTTTAACTATCCAGCCGTTAAGCAATGAACGTTTGTGCATTCTGTACACATCACAAACTGAAAAGGATTTTGTATTTTAGTTAAACCACTTTTCCAACCGACCTCAGCATTTATATTGAATATAGTCGCACCTAACACTAATAGTGAGTATCGAAAGCATGAAAACAACTTTTATATCATATTTTATTTATATACACATTTGAAGGAAACCCAAAATATCTTGATCAAATAGGACAGTGTATAAATAAATAAATAAATCATCAACTGTAATTACCAGGAATATAGATGTGTATAATTACAGCGCTAAGTAATATAAAGGATTAACAGTAATCGAAAGATATCATATTTAATTACACCGTACACCAAGTGGTAAGCAATAAAATGGTTCAATCGGTTCAGTTTGTTCCAGTTCAATGGCTGTTAATAGTGCACGTGTAACAACAGCATCAGATGCTGGTTCCGGTGTATTTGATGAACCTAATATGTCAGCAAGTAAACGCCATACACGAAAACTTGTTGGGTCCACATTCATTGCATCTCGTGCTACACGTTCAGCCAGGGTTGTTTGATTATTTTTATGTAAAAGACTAGCCTGATAAATAAATGATCGTTATTATAATGGATTAAACAACAGAAAGTGAAACAAACGAGGATATAAAATTATTCAGATGTATCCTAGAGTACAACCGTAACGATTATCTTTAGCGAAATTGAATGGACTTATTAATGAAAACGAATAACACCCTACAACGGTCATCTCGATGGCATATCTACTGTTTTAAGGAATAAGTACCATGTGTTCTTTATCAGTGAAGCCCATCACGACACTAATTCTGACTTTTGAACGTTGATGAAGGATGTTGAAATCAGTTGACTAATTTAAATTTTGCACACCGAAACGTTGGTATTTGACTTCAGTAAATAAAACATCAAAAAATAGCTCCCGAGTTTGAAAAATCCAAGGTGCACCGATATCTTTAACTATGGGTGAACCATAGAAACAACACAAATGAGAAGCGGAGAAATCAAACGTGTCAACTCAATTTAATGAAGCGAGACTTATTATTTGTAGTCAGATAGGGAAAAAATTAAAGAATTGACCGAGAGAGTATGTAGTAAACACGAACATCCATGCCAAAAAATCAGGATTACAAGCGAATAGGTAACAAGGTAAAATATATGTGTAGACAGAGACTCGAAAAGCTAATTGGTTTGTCCAAAAACTACGTAAGCGTGAAAAGTACTAAATGCTACAGCTTCAGATGTCGGTGGTACCGTACCTATCGCTTTAAGAGCCAATACGGTCTTCGCTAAAAGCTATCGATTCACCAAAGCTACCAACATCCTCGATGGAACATTTTCTTACCATGTAAGCATGTCAGCAGAGACGTCCCAAATATCAACAAAAAGCTCTTTCAATAATAAATATTTAACTTACTAAAGAAAGCAATGCCTGTAAATGGTCCGGCTTCAATGCAATAACGCTTTCATATAAAGATCGGGCTATGCATACGAGTCCTCGTTCTTCTGCCAAACGTCCACGCTGCATAATTACAAACAGTAACAAGAAAATATCAAAATTCCAATTGCAATATTATTACACAAACAAAACTCATTTGTGGACACAATCATATCTGTTATTAGCAGAGATGGGTGATAGCTAGTAGTGGAGCCTAGGACGCGTGTTTCGTCCCATTTGTGACTCGTCGACAAGGTGTACCTCCATCCTGGAGATGATGTTCCTTTCAGAATTCAAACCCAATACCATTCGCTTCATAACTTACCGCATTATTTACTTAGCTACTGAGTCGAAGTGGGCGCTGACTTGTGCAATGGGGTGAAATTTAATTTGTTTGTATTGGTTATTTGAATCTACTTATTGATGTTTAGAACCACTTTGGCATACGTACATTTCGTGCGGACTCAACGAGAATATTGAAGCAATACACACAGGAAGCAAATACGCTAAAAAGAGACTGATCAATTGAGATCCTAAACGTCAATGGGAAAACTCAAACAACCAATACAAATGTATCATATCTATATCCCAGTTTCAGTCAATACCAACGTAGAACTTCGTACGTACTTACGTCAGTTCGAGTTGCCACACCACATTAGCATAGAGATGCAGTGGTCGATTCAAATCCCGTAGTGGTAGAGGTAATAAAAGTATAAGCAGTAATCGGGAAGATTAGTGTTTGGAGATGTTATTTAAAGAGTATAATCCAGTGAAATAATTTTGGGAAGAGAAAAAAAGAGACAAGGAGGAATAAGGAGATCAAAATTTGGGAGAACACAAAGAGTGTATGCACCTGCGCCATTGCAAACGATTTTGAGCCATGTCATTCAAGGTCTCTAACCATCGGTTATTATCATTCGCGGTCCCCAACCAGGTAGTTTACACCTACCAACATGACAGTCTACTTGCCAGTGACTTCATGGACTTGTGCCATGTTTTGGTCTGGCCGCCCCTACCTTTCTTCCAACCTACTCCTATACCACTGAACATCGCACGTCGAGGCAGTCGGTCGTTGGGCATACGTAGCACATGTCCCAGTCATCTCAACTGATGAAGCTTCACTACGTCATCAATTGATTTGCCATCCTTACCTAGTACCCGTTTCCTAACAACTGCATTACTTACTCGATGGTCCCAGGATATACGAGCAATATTTCGAAGACACCTATGATCAAATACTAGTAACCTACGGATATCCTCTACTCTTACCGGCCATGCTTCACTGCCATAAAGTAGGACGGAACTAACTGCTGGGCAGTAATACGTCCTTTGGTTGATAGACGGATATCTCGCCTACGCCATAAATGACGCAAGTTGGCAAAAGCTAGTCGAGCCTTCCGTATCCGTGCTGAGATTTCATCACACACCAGACCACAAGGGCTGATGAGACTTCCAAGATAAGTGAGGCGGTCGGCACGCTCAATTACTTCGCTCCCTATCATTAGTTCGGGTGTCAATGCAACCCAGTCCTAAAGCAACATTTTGCATTTCGAGGGAGAGAATCGTATCCCGAACATGCTTGCATTGTTGCTTAGAGTGGTCAGAAGACTCTGCACTTTGTCAGCGTCTTCACCAAATAAAACTATGTCATCTGTATATTCTAATTCAACAAGTGAACCTCCTGGTAGAAGTTCAACCCCTGGGAATTTAGATGAGGAGAGTGTTATCTCTAAAAGTACGTCGACCACAAAGTTGAACAAGAATGGGGAGAGTGGACAGCCCTGACGAACACCACTTGAGGTAATCAATTCTGATGACAGTTCGCCATAAGCTCTTACTCTACCAGTTGTGTTCGAGTAGAGAGCCTTTATAAGGTTAATGTACTTCTTTGGTACTCCTTTCAGTGACAAACACTGCCATAGAACCTTACGATCAACAGAGTCGAATGCCGCCTTAAGGTCGAGAAATACTACCATCCCAGTTCATAGGGATTGGGGCTGAACAACTAATCATAATTCGAGTCAGGACAGATTAATAAGTCTTTTTTTAACATAAGTATATACACACTATAATTAAATAATTCTAAATAACGATGACTTTGCTATGACAACATAATCAAATGCTGAAATCGTGTATTTCAAAGGTCATGTTTTTCACAGAATAGATCCTCAATTCCTAAATGAATGGATTTGAGGAGGCAGAATCCTGATTAAGGGAGTACATATAAGGGAGTTAAAACAGTCGCTTATTTATTCAAACCAAAGCAGTATGGTTGTGAGTCATTCAACGAAGAACAAATAACCATTAACTAATGATAATAGTCATTAAAAAATGCTGGAAACCATTATGTCGTATGTATTTACCAGCAAGAAAATCAGAAACTACGATTCAACGAAAACGTTTTCGATACTATTTCAAATGCACTGTAATAATACTATTAAACCAAAACTATGCCCCAAACTTCATATAACTGTTGGTGAGCCAATTTAACGTTGGCAGCTCATTCGATGCGAAAATGAATTTGCATCAATAAATTAGTCGAAATGTACATATGGATGATAATAAATCTTATGAGGGAAATGTGTGATGAACACAGTTGTAAAATTTAGTTGGATAAAGAAGTGTAATCATACCAATACATAACATAGCTGGTAGTCGGTATTGAATGTTGACTTGAGTCCTATAGAAATTGTGACTGATCATAAACCTAACATATTTAAGAGGATACTGTCTATACAAAAGTCAATCAACTGACGGCGTCGGTGGTAATGTAGGCCTGGCTCATGGAGTAGAGATCTAAGAAGTTGTACACTAAAGTAGTATGTTGAAAAACATGTGTAAACAATCCAAATGTATTTTGGCTCAAAACGTAATTTATACATCCTAGTATCAGTCAATCATGAACATAGTGTTATGTCCCAGTTTAAGCTACCACAGCTAGAAGAAAAATTAACAGGACGTAAAACAAAGAAATGAAGGTATCAATATGGACTGAAGAATAAACACGGTTTAAAAAAAACTATTGGAAGTAGAGGTTTTGGATAACACTATGCTGAAAATTTAGAAAAAAGGATGAATGAGAGGGAATCACTGGCAACGATTTTGAGCTATGTTATTAAAGGGATCGACATAAACTCATTTACCATCACTACCTAAAAAACCTACTTTTAAACTTAGCAAAATGCTTAAGGTTACCTATAATCCAGTAATGGAGTTCTGTTTTCGGGTTTTAGAAATATTGAATATATCTATGCCATACGATTTTAGAACCGTGGCTTGTAAAATCTGTTTTCTGGTTTGACAAAGGGTTGGAACACTGAATACTTCAATATGTAGATTAAAAGGTTAGAAGTAGTTGTACATGAAACAGAAGATGAAACCATAAATTAAGTGATAACAGGGATATAATAGGTTAGAGGATTGAAAAATTTAGATACGTTAATATTTAAAGATCTGTTGGGTTGGGAATGCACTCATAAAGCTCAACAATACCTTTAGATCGGTCATGAATAACCTTTTCTTAAGTGGTTTTTTTCCCTCAAGAACTGACTGTAGGCTTTCAAACTTTACCACCAGAACCAAAGATCCGTGGTACGAGGGGAGCAACCATATTTTAGAAGAGTGGTACCATCATTATCTTTAGGAAACATATTGCTGGCATATTCTCAGATAGTCGGCAGTACAACTTCGTACAACAGCGAACTTAAATATGACGACTTTGCCTTAACAGCTCCTAAGCAGGCACACTGGGACCTCAAACAACAAATGCTCAAGGCAATATAGCTTGATTGGGTGATTGTTTGAGATACGCTCGATAATTACATTTACATTTTCTTGTCTAAACTTACTCAACAGGTGCAATCTATGCGTGTCTCGTTTCAAAACAACAACAATACCTGTGGCATCTTCAGTTACTATGGTTGGGTTTTCAGAATAGAAGAAACAATACTAACATGTGCACTTCATCCTTAGGTTTGCTCCATAAAAGTTAAACAAGCTAGCACGCGAAACATGGAACTAGGTTTAAGAATATGAGGCAATCAAGACTTCATTCATTATTGTAAACAACTTTGGCAGTGAATAAATTAGTTGAAATCCAGACCTACTGAGCACTGCTTTGATAATCTTGGGTAGCTAAACAAGAATAGCTATTTTTATGATCCAGAACGATGATTCTAAAAATTTATGGAGAACAGATAAAGCAATTCGATGACTGTACTTCATCAATACAAACGGTCGATACTTTTCAACACAACTGAGTCGAACAATCCAAGGGGTTTTAATAAAACGTTCTATCCTCGGAGGCCAATTGGGAGTTCTACGACACAAAAAGGCAAGTATATGTTAGGGTTGAAAGTCAGCTTTTGCTACAAAAACCGAAAAATCTTTATCACTATTAACTACTAAACATTAAAATAGGACATACAAGATATAATGTTTGGTTATCAAGACCACCAATTTTCATTACTTCATCTAATGCTTCTTTGGCTTCAAACAATTGATTATTGTCTAAATATGACTCCGCTGAAATAAATTTTGAAGATTAATAGTGTGTTAAAATTTACTAAATCTAAAATAAGTAGTGAACAATATTGTTTTCGATTAGATCCTAGTCGAAAACAATATTGTTCACTTATATACGTTATTCTAAATCACAATATGGGAATATTTCAAATTTTAAAATAAGTAGGATGATATACATTGCCGTTTAAAATTCAACTTGACATATTCGACAGGGTACTTGATAAAAATGGAAGATTGGGTGACGTGTTAGTGAATCTTTGTCGATAGACGCGGTTGAGATCTTTTGGTTGAATGTACAACCACTACGGAAGATGTCTCACGTAGAAGGCTAGAAGAAAGTTGGCGGCGGTAAAACCAAAACGTGACATCAGTTCATGAGGACACTGACAACTCGATAGTCATATTAATAAGTGTGGGCTACCTGATCGAAGTCCGCGTGATTATCGTAATCAATGGTTACAGAATCAAGTGATGTTGCATTAATAATCCTAAAGTCCTAAGGAGAGCAAGAACGAAGATTGGTGCAGAATAATATGAATTCATTTTATTTCGTTAGGTTTTCATCAGCTTCTTACAACCTAAAATATTTGAGAATCAACGTTATTACAGATACTGACATACTTATACATACAATGGTGATTAAAGATGAATATATGTATCATGATGTAACGAAGATTTCAAGAGTTAATAAGGTCATAAAAATTTTATTTAGTATAAATAAAGTTTGGGAGGAAAAGTTCTAGAACATTGAAATAGTGATTAGAACTCATGGAGTTAACAAACATTGGATGATTTTATAATGAAGCAACTGGAAATAAATTAATGGCAATAAAGAAAGATATGAATTGAGATCAGTCAGTTATGAATTAAAGAAAAACGACAATGATGTAATCTAAACTTCAGAAAGATTTGAAATAGTGAATGACGTAATAAACAAAAAAGGAGGGTGATGTTACCAGGGCAAAGAAAGATTTATTACTGTCTTTTTTGTATACAGAGATGTGGCTTTAGACGTTTTATCGCTTTTGCTTCGATAAATTTTAAAAGGACTTCAGTGTATCAATTCATGTCCTGTGTTAAGGAGATGTCTTGCAATGGCACTGCTGAATGCTTTTAACCCATTCGATCTTAAACTTTTCGGAATATGTTCTTTAAATCGGACGTAGGCTCTCCTTTCTGTTCTACTAATGTAGCTGTTTTGTCAAATACATGTAAATTTGTATACAAAGTTGGTGGTAATATGAAAGGGATACCTATCGACCTTTGATGGTGTCGAAGAACATGTTGTTTCGGGCAGGACAGTCAGTTTAGCTGCAGGATAGGTTTTTATCAATGCAGTTTTTAGTCTCATATTGATAGACCCTGTGACATAATCACCTTTGAATTTAGGTTGAATAAGAATAGGTTTTTTATTTGCTGTAGTTTCTTTGGTTTTTTTTAATCTTCACGTTTACCACATTTCTCAATAAATTTTAGTGGGTATCCGTTATTCTTTAAACACTTTATAACATTCATAACTTTCTCTTCTAGAGTATCGGCAGTATATATTCTTTCTGTTCTGTGAAACAGTGTTTTGATAAGTGCCTTTTTGTAACTGATTGGACAAAAGCTATTGAGATCGAGCTAAACCCCGTTCCATGTGTCTTTCTTATAAACTGAACGCTGAACTGTACCATCCTTCCTTCGTTTCATTGCGATATCGAGAAAGTGGAAATTGTTTTCATTTTCATGTTCCACAGTAAAATGGATATTTGGATGGGCTGCGTTGAAAAGTTTTAGCCGATTTTTTGATTATTACGTACGATGAAGGTATCATCAGCATACCACGAATAATATATCATTCCATCATTCGCTCCTTTGATCTTGCTTCTTTCGAGATTAGCCATGAAAACATCTGCTAGGGAAGGACCTAACGGACTTTCCATTGCTACACCATCGGTTTGTCGGTATATGAAGTCAACTGATAGGCACTTACAACCTGCTTAATATGAACTGATTTGCAGTTTTTTATATTTTCCGTTCTTTATGGTGTATTATTCAACATTACTTACTATTATTCAGTATCTGATATCATTTTTAAACGTGGAGTCCATAATGTATATTTACTGTACTTTATGTAACTTCATTTAACAGTTATTTCCATCTTATTGTATTCCTTTTCCATCAACTGAGTTTTGTATCTATGTAGTAAGTTGTTCATTGAAAATGTAATTATTCTTAACAACCTCTATATTTGATGCTGAATAGCTCTAATAACTAAATTATTATTCACTTTACGATGTCTTATGAATTATTTATTAGATACGTGTTTAAAAGAAGCATTCTATCGTTGGCCTTGTTTTGCTAATACCACAGCTCACTGTTTTAGACCTATAGTCCCGGCTATTTGTTATTTTTATATCAATAACACCTATTTTGCAGATAAATTTCTTGCAATGATTTTCAGACTTTATGTGTCACTCAGTTATTAGGTTATAATCCTCCGAAAGATCTATTAGGTTTCAATAAAATGGAAAGCAAAATACAGACTCTTAACAGTGAACGGACAGAATAATGAAGAACTTCGTTTACTGTACAGTTCAGAACTTAGAAAGAGCTGAATAATAAAAAAACGTGAGCACAGGGAGAGAATGTAAACGCACTCATATAATACCTACCTAGACCTTGGTAAATTTTAATTTGTACTTTCAAAGCAGTTGTTTGATTTTGATTGCCCGGACGAGATTGTCTTGGAAGCGGTACGATAGATGCACCAGTTTGGCCAGCACAACCAATCGCTATATCAGATAGCGCAGACTGTAAGTAATTGCTGTTGTTAGTTTTTTCTTCCCATACATTTAATATTGAACAGTCATCGTCTAATTCTAACGACGGACTGAATGGAGAAACACTGGAAAGTGTTAAGTCATCAGGAGTATTTGAATTAGTTATATCATTGTTATTTGATAGAGCAGCTTTTCGAATTCGATTGAATATTACCCTTAAAAATTTAAAATGTATAAAATTTATATTACTTGAAAGCTTTGAAGCATTAATTAACCTGAAAAATAGACTTTAACATGAATCAAATGGAATCAATTGAACAAATAATAAAAAAGCCAGGAAGTATATGTATAATTGATCTGGTTTTAGTTTGACGTGTTTTCATGAATACGTACATCCCAATTCATATACGGTCTGAAGAATAAACTACATCATCATTGAACAAATATTTAGCAGTTTCTATTATGAAAAGGTAGGCATATGTAATTGACCCATAAAACAAACTACTATCAACCGTGAGAACTTTCAAACGAGTTATCTCAGTCGACAGACAAATATCAAAAACCTAGGATTTATCACAAATATATATTGGTCGTGAAGACGGTATAATTGTGAGAAATCATATAAATATTTGATATATCATCCAACTAATTAGAATTTATCATTGTGTACTACTATGAATAAATGGAATTGTATGGAACAGTACTTCCATATAATAAAGTTCAGTGATTCAATACGTTTAAGAAGCCTAGATTATTGTACTCAGATAAGACACGTTTTAGATTTGAGAACTAGTGAAACTATCCGGTTGCCAAATTGAAAGTCAAGTGGTCTATCTATTAAACAACCACTGCAAACCAGTCAATATATTTGTAACCAATCAGTTCACGACTTTATTTTGTCATACTACGTAGGAATCACTTTTGTGAGTTTAATAATACTTCTAATTTAACTAGTATGTCATACAAATAACTGTCTTGTATTCATACTTGGTTGTTATAATGAGCTTATAAATTCATGATCATATATGTTCAACAGAAAATCTATCATACATTCTATCAATATATAGGTATACACTGATGTAAAAAAACTGTAATAAGGTTTATTAATAGTATGAGAAACTTAAAAAATTACTTTGAATTAGCCCCTAACGAGAATGTATCACGCCATACTTTTAACAATTGACGATAGACTTTCAAACCAGCTTTAGGATTAATTCTAGCTTCTTCAATTTTAGCTAATAAAAACAATAAATTAAAATCATTTGGTCTATCGCTTAAACCAACATATAATGCCTTTGCAGCTTGATCTAAACGTTTTCCTCCAGCTGTATGCAATAACGCTAATAAATACAATGTATTGGAATGTATTGGCATTAACTGTAAACTTTGTTGACAAATTGACAAGGCCTCGTCCAAATGACGTTGTGTAGCCAATTCAACAGCTAAATGATACCATCCTAGATAATCATCGGGATCTAGTTGAATAGCACTTTAATGAAATGAAAAAAAAATAAAATAGATGATATGCAAAAGATAACCATATAGGAGGAGTCGACAGTGAACTTCTCGAATATATACAAACAATTTCAGCTTAACTATTGGAGTAAGGTGATAAATTCACTAATTACTGTATTTCGATAGAAAAATGAGAAGACGGAGTCGATCTCATTGTTCTATCGAAATTTATAAAAGGGACTAATTGCTTTAAATTACTGTATTAATGTTTATTATACAGGAAATTAAACTTTAAACAGAATGAAAGAATTAATATTTCCGTCGAAAAGAAAATTTTCTTCGCTGAATTCACTTTATTTGTATTCAATGACACAATGGGTCATTTTAATCACATAAATAAGTTGTGAACAGACTTAAATTTCAGGTAAACAACGTATGTACAAATAAAGTGGTTTCACCAGAGCTTTGTATCAACAGAAATGTCTTTTGAAGTAACTCTATAGACATGTGATTCCTAATGATTCAGTTATACCTCTTAAAGCTCCTTTGAGTAGTAAAATGAAATATGCACAAAATTTGAAAATCATTAATATAAGCTTTGTGAATAGTAAGTGAGAAAATATAACCCAGAACCCAACTTTAGCACAGTTATAGAGACTACCTTGTTAAGGTTTATGTGATTGTTGTAACAAATGATCAAAGACTTTGGGTGATATGGCTCAAAAACATTCACAACGCCGGAGGTAAATTTGGTCTTTGTCTTCCTCTAGATCCTGATATACAAAAACTCTTCATACATTTTTCATTTTACACTACATCTTTTTTATTAAAGCTGATACTGTTATTAATTCTACAACTCCGAAATTTGGCTTGATAATTTCATCATGCTTGTGGCTAATGTGATGTGGCAATTTGAACAGATGCACGTACGTGCCAGATTATATATTGCATATGACTGGAAGAGAATAAAGGTACCTAATGCATATATAAGCTGTATAAGCTGACAATTTTTAGTGTAACTGAGGTGACCAGACTGATAATGACCTGATAAAAGTGATCAAATACTACGATTTTAATATTCTAACTTGAAGGAGCTTATGTGAATATTTCTCCACTATGAAATCGCCATTTCTAGTCTCCTTCACACTGTATAGGTCTGACCAGTTATTCATTGCTATAAATATTTTCTAAACATTTAACATAATCAGAATACGAGGGTGGTATCGTGATTATATGAGGTAACTCGACTTATAAAATATCATACTACCTTAGATTATAAAAAGGGCACTTACATTCTATACTCTTTTACAGCACGATTACGCAATTCACTTTTTTTATCTACAACACAACATGACCTGGCTAATATAGACCAACCCCAACCAACTAGTAAATGAGCGCGAGCCATAAAGGCTGTTTCAGACTGTGCAGAAACCTAAAAGAAAATTTATGTACACAATATATTTGTATCTAAACAGGAAGAATTCAATATAAACAATATATATAATTGTAAAGATAGTTTTTCTCTTAATGTTAGTGACAATGAGAATTTGTGAATTAGAGTGTCAAATCTCAATATTATTGGAAGCACAGACTATCAAGTTAATGTAGACAAGTGTAACTGATAAATTTTGAAATTAGATGCTCAATCCCATTGCTAGAATCTACAGAACATAAAATTAAACTATATAGTAATATAAATAATATATTCTCTGAAGAAGTGGCTTACACTAAATCACAAAGCATCAGAAAATCTAATTTTCCTACTCATTGGGATATTACAAATATATTATTTATTTATAACAATTTACCCGACGCTCAATTTATTTGAAATTATCAAATCAAACCCTGGCAATGATACCTATATAGTAATACATCGTGATATAGTAGTGTTGTTTTTTGATATCGTAATGAAACATTACAATTATACCATGGTTGTATTATCAACATTCTATTCAATGATCAATTTACCTGAAATTATTAATCTTGATAATGATAATCATGAACATAGTTCCCTTTATCATTTTGAAAAGAGCAAGAACAAAGATTCTAGCAGAATAACATGAATTCATTGTATTTCGTAGGTTCTCGTCAGCTGCTTACAACCTGTGGTATTTAAAAAGATAATAATTGCATAATGGGTTGAAATTGCTTACATGAGAGGGTTTGTTTGGAAGTTATATTGAAGATATATTCGTAAAGTATATCATGGGTGTAAATGAAATTAATAGACTGAATATTGTAAATATATACCTAACGTGAAAGAATATTCTACAGCATTAATTGTGGTAACAGTTCAAAAGGGGTTAGGAACAATTGATTACATAATGAATAAACATTGATAGGAATATAGTGAGTAGGGTTCCGTTGAAAGATTATTAATTTTTTTTAAAGATAGTTGAAAAAATAAAATCAATGAGATAATAAATATAAAAGATGAGAATAAAAAATTTTAAGCTGCAGCGGAAGAATATTTGTCACTAAGGCAGGGAAAGATTAACAATCATCTCCTTTTGAACACATAAATCAGGTTTTTGGCGCCTGATAGCAACTGCTTCAGTAAACTTCAGAAGACTGGAGTTTGGCTGCTTACTAATCACCTTGAATGATTGTAGGATGTCAACCTGACGGCCTGTGTCAAGGAGAGGTTTAGTGATTGCACTACTTAGAGTCTTTCTCTTGTTCTGAGGCTTTTTGGGACATGTTCAAAAAATCTGAGATATGCCCTCCTTTCTGTTCGGTCAATGTAGCTGCTTTGGCAGGTATATGTAATTTATAAATGCAATACAATACATGAAAAGGATGCTTATCAACCTTTGATTGAGTTATTGAACATGTTGTTTTATACAAAATTTGAAGTTTGGCCGCCGGATAGGTTCTGGCTAGCGCAGTATTAAGTCTCCTGTTGATTGTGTTAGCAACATCATCACCTTTGAAGTTAAGACTTATAGTTATTGGTTTTTTATTGACAGTAATTACTTCAGTATTATTTCCTTTACGCTTTTTATATTTGTCAATAAACTTTTGTGGGTAATAGTTGTCTCGTAGGCATTTTTGCACGTTCATCAATTCTTCTTCCAGCTTATCAATGGTACATATCTTTTCTGCCCTATAAAATACTCTACTCACTATATTCCTATCAATGTTTATTCATTATGTAATCAATTGTTCCTAACCCCTTTTGAACTGTTACCACAATTAATGCTGTAGAATATTCTTTCACGTTAGGTATATATTTACAATATTCAGTCTATTAATTTCATTTACACCCATGATATACTTTACGAATATATCTTCAATATAACTTCCAAACAAACCCTCTCATGTAAGCAATTTCAACCCATTATGCAATTATTATCTTTTTAAATACCACAGGTTGTAAGCAGCTGACGAGAACCTACGAAATACAATGAATTCATGTCATTCTGCTAGAATCTTTGTTCTTGCTCTTTTCAAGATAATCATTAAATTTTATAATTAATATTTAAAACATTCGGAAAACAATTTTATTCATCCAGTTGAAACTAATTGATTTAAACCAGTAGCAATAGAAATTATTATATGTGAATAGATTGATAAAAAACACACTGTATTGAACATAAGCGAAAAGGGTGGCCTGCTTGAGCCTCTGGGCTACCTGTTCCTGTCATCTAGATATTTCAACAAGTTATCTATTTTTGTTTGTTTTAATATATCATCATGTTTACTAATCGCATGACCTATTCTGCTGCATTTCTGAAAAGTGTACAACCTTTCGTTTTCAAAGTTACAAAAAACTCAATAAGAGACAATATGGTTGCTGGCAATATACAACGAAAAGAATGCACATTATTCAGATGTTCATTTACTGAACTGCTAACATCTAACTGGCGATCACTCAATATTTATCGCCAGGACCGACCAAGAAGAAAGAAACGGAAACTTGTTGAAATACTTTACGCTGAGAATTCTATATTGTACCAAAAATATAATATTGAATAAAGCTGATAATAATAATGATATTAATAATAACAATAATAATTGTAAATAGGTAGGAATAGAAATATTACCTCTACTGCCTGTGAAGCTAATTCCATGCCTTCTTCAATTAAATTCAAATGACCCAAACATAATGAACTAGCGAATAGATAAACGGATATTTTAGAATTATCAATTCGTAAACATTCGCGTAGAGCCAAATAACCACGATAATACTATAGAGAATTGAATGATAAACAAGTCAGAAGAATAAAGCTCAATGCTTATCATAGAACTTAGATTATTTAAAAATGCTTGCTTCCATATTGGTTAAAAGCTGAACAAGTTATAGAAAAAAACTAAAAAGTAAGGAACTAAAAACAGAAACCAGATAATTACGGTTTTGTTACTTATTTATAAAATATAAAGTATTTTGGTATAACAAAGTTATTTAAAAGATGTGTCATATGAGGGTTTCTTTTCATATTGTCTGGGGGTAGGTGTGGTCATGATGGTTAGAGACCTTGAATCACATGGCTCAAAATCGTTTGCAATGGCGCAGGTCTATCCACTTTTTGTGTTCTCCCAAATTCTAATCTTCTGAATTCTTCATGTCCCTTTTTTTTCTCTTTCCAAATTTATTTTACTGGATTATACTCCTTGTATAACATCTTCAAACCCTAGTCTTTCCGATTACTGCTACTACTACCTCTACAACTACGGGATTTGAATCGACAACTGCATCTCTGTGCTAATGTATTTATGGCAACTCGAACTGATGTACGTACGTACGAAGTTTTACGTTGTTACTGACTGATGGTCATAATACACAGAGTAAAGTAAACTAGATTTGTTAGGTTACACAGCCTATCAAGAAAGTATGATAACGTTGAATATAAAAGTGAACATGTCTTATTGAATTACTGTATGATCTAACTTCTCAAATGTTATAATTTTTACGCTCGCTATCAAGACTATTCAGACCACTTATACAAACATACACATGAGATGTAAGTGATATGGTTGAAATGAGAAGTTTCATGTTTAGTTTGTCTTCCTCTTTACTTTATAATTAGGAGGGTTACGCATTAAAAGCACCTATTAATAATACATTTTCAAAGTGCAGACTGGTATATATAACTATTTAGCCTGATAATAATGTGTTTATAATTTCCAAAACAAACAGATACGAAATTTGAGGCATTTACGAATAGGATACTGTTATGTCCCGACAATAATAATGAATGGTAACTTTTGGGATCTATTGATGGACCAGTACTAAACGTATATCTCTACTGTATAATTATTAACTAACTAAACTATGCATATTCATATTCCTTTTATTATAAGCTTTATGTTGACCCATAAACTATTATTATATGTTTTACCATTCTTGAGTTATACCCAGTATATTAATTACTACCTCAGTCATTCATAGCCACATTTGGCTAATTCTTGTACAAATGTTGTTTCATATTTTATTGGTACGTTGTGGTGTGCTTGATTGGTATATGAACACAGTATGCTTTAAATATAATGATTCATATCGCAGAGGCTCGGATTGGTGTTCTGAACTTAACTGGTTGGGCTAAACGGAAAGCAGGACCAATCAGGACTCTAGGCTGCTCGCACGTGTTTTACGCGTCCTTGGTCCGATCGATAATTCGCTGCTCCCTAATTGGCGGTCACAATTTATAACAGATACAAAATGATTTTTATCCATTTTTAAAAATAATAACTTTTTGATGAATTTTAACAAAAACTTTTTCAAGTCAATATTACACAAGGTTGTACAATTGTCGGTCCAGTTTAGACCAACCCACAAGAGTATATTGTGGTAAACTCATCAAAATGAAAAACAGAACAGAGGAAATAATCATATCAATCGTATTGGAAACTAAGCATAGAAAATATAGGTCGGAAAGGACCGCCGAAAGTAAGGAATAACACTAAGTTAAAGATATAAAGTAGACAGAACCAATGGATTTGTGCTACTATTATCGAATGAGAATCATAGTGTTAGTCGAGTCTTTTAAACGTAAGTTATGATAACCTCGTGGACTACAACCAGAAGATCGACGATTTCTGGAGCGACTCAGTTCGATTGTACATGGATTCATGAACTGACATTTCTTTATTTAGTTACAACCAGTTGTCTACAATTCTTTGCTAGTTAGCATAGAAGGTGGACGTAAGCGATGGCTGACAGATATGTTGTTCATGTCAAGCCACTGTCTGCATGTTGCAATAAATCCAAACAACAAAGATATAATAGTAAGAAACACTAGGGATTATGTAGAATCTAAATAAGAATTTTCTGCAATATTCAATTGGTCGTCAGATAATGACTGGTTGGAAGACGGACCATGATCCAATCAGAATATACGGGTTTGAACCCGATCTACTTGTGAAATACAGTTAGAACTGAATTCTGATAACATAGATCTTAATCAAATAGTTGAATTCTAAAGTGTTTATCATGAAATATGATAATCTCAGGATCAATTTTAGTTATGAGTACATAGTTTGATATTTCCTGAGTTTCTAATTGCGATAAAAGTTCTTCAAATATGTTTTATGTGTTACTAATTTAGTAAACAATTTCATAAATGTGTAGTGCTCGGCATTGAGTTACATTTAACATGTAGGCGTAAATATTACTCGTCAGCTGTTTGAGGTATCCAAAATATGTATAATGGGTTACAAACTAGTAACCCAACAGCTGAAATTGAGGTTCATTAACTACTAAGTCAAATTATTGCTACTGTACGTTATTCAATATATTCTTTGATCTATACTTTTTTCTTAGTCCATAAAAGACAGTTTCCAATCCAAGCAAAATATAATAACAGGAAAAGTATACAAGACATTCAAAATTATATTATTAACAAAATGTAATAACGTCAGCAAATTTAAAAACAAATTTAATATGCATAAAAACGATAATAATTACACATAAATGACTGTTAATCACAGATGATAATAAAGGAGATAAAAACATACTTGTTTAGAACTGATAAGTGATAAAGCGAATTGATACCAGATATGAAATTGATGATAAGAAAACTTGAGTGCTTTTTCAAGGCACTACATATAATCATAAATGTAAAAATGAAAAGAAAATTGTGAAATATGACCATAATTATTTATGGAGTAATTATTGTTGAAATTACAATCATTGGCATGATATCAATTCACTAAATATATTTTGAATAGTCAATACTGGTCGTTGGAGAGCTATATGGAACTATGTTTAGTTATCTCCAACCCTTTTGTTAGGAGATTAAGGTACACTAGTAAAAATCACAGTTAGAAACAATACAAATATACCAGAATTCACTCAACAATGAAGGCTGAGAAACTTTGGATTAATCGTTATTCGGCAACTTACTTTAGACCTTTCATCATGTTAGATGCAGCCCTAACACAAACACAAATTACATCCTTTTCGAAATTTTATGATTTGAGTCAACTAGCAGAAAGCTATAAACCAATAACTTAGGGGTTTCTAGCCGCATATTAATTGATTTAATCTCACCTGACAAGTTGATCAACAGAATACGATTAGGAGGCTGAAGGAACTAGATATTATGACATTTGTTATTACCCAGTGGTTGGTTAAGGTTGATATGAATGGGAAAGAATTAAGTCTCGGTAATTAGGGATTCTGTTGAAGAGTGAATAATATATGGTTTTCATACCCTCCAATTATTTAGTTGTTAAACTACTACTAATCATATTTATTTTTGTGTTTGACAGTTTGTACATAAGAATATTTATTTTCCAAAATAACCTATTCTATTGGCCGGAGGTTTTTACTTTTATATCAGTTCATTTGAGGGCTCATGTTAATAATTCGATCTCGTGAGAAACTATCACTCGGCCTCACTATATAATTGCATATTATCAATCGATCGGTGCATTTCCTTCATTAGTCCAACAAACTCCTTATGTCCTTTTATTACAAACTATACAGAAGCGTGCTTTGTATCAGTGACTTAACCATTAGGCTACTCTTTAAATTGCTAAGTTGGACTAACCCGTTTAATTTATATAACCTTTTCGCTGACTAATGGTATTTATCGTAATCACTTACTTTAAGACTGTTGTGTTTGTTTATCTTAATTCGTTATCTAGTGCGTACACAATAACTTCAAAAATACGGAGTGCGAATGGCAGTGAAATTTATAAATATTGACTATTATAATTGAATACAAGGCATAATTTTGTCTTATAGCATCCTGTTCGTGATAAAAAGATACGTGGGATTTGAGAAAGATAACAAATAAAACCAAAGATTCTAATCATGGAAACGACGAAAATGACAATTATAGATGCGAAAATGCTCGCTGATCAGTCTACATATTGAGCTTTCAAACATCAATAAAGACTTTTCTGTCTGATCACGATATTATTCCACATTTAACTCGGATTATAATACCAGTATGATGTTGGATTTTGTGAATTTAAGTTATTCATCAAGTTAGCTAAAGCTTAATTGACCTGGATTGCGATTGATTCCAGTTAAGAACAAGCGAATATCCCTCACTTATGCAACAATTAAACACAGAATGTCATGATTTCGGATCGAAATCGGGAACTGATGATTAGCAGTAGTGTCTGGTAACTTAACAGACAGACCATTAGAAAACGTGAAGTGACTAACAAAGTATTGGTCTGAAGTAGTAAAACAATATTGATTTCGTGGTTAGAGTTTGTGATAGTTGAAATCGACGACCAAAGGTTGCGCATTTGATGAAAGAAGTTATAGTGGAGCAAATGTACAGTAAATATTATCATTGTACAGATTTTGACAGTTTATTATTGCCAAATCTCTTCGAAGTGCGATACGAACAAATAAGCTATCAAGCCATGTATTATGATGTGTTGATTTGCCTCCGTAGGTCACTAAACAAAAGTTAAAGTGACTAATCATTTAAATTCAGATGACATTAAAACTTTATTTAATTATTATAGCTATATAGTGAATAAATATGCACAAGCAACTTCAATTTTCAATGATTACGCGCATCACACACATATTGAGCTTTTTTTCTCCAAGAAAGCATAACAGTTCAAAATAACTCACTTTAGAAAGAAATTTGAAATGTTTAACTTTAGTAAGAAGTATGGCAAGTAAGTCGTAGACAGCAGCTGCATTATTAAATGATCGAACTATTTGTGGTTCAGATAATTCTGACGGTCGATTAAGTATAACATCTTGACTGGCCTACAAATTTATACACATGAAAATAAACATGATTAAACAACAGCCCGAAGTGATTGTTTATCTTGTCTTTAAGATATCAGAGTCGTATATTTAGAAACTGATTGTAATTAATTGGTGAAAATAAGAGTATAACATTAGTGAGTATCCCTGTGACACCTCAATAATACTATGAACAGCTTTAACGACTAGACAGTTTGAGAACACTTTAATTATAAATGATAAAACTTCCATAGTTAGTTTTTTTTACAATATTATATGATGTTCAGTTAAAGATGAGTGGTGTTACACAACTATTACGAGTTGACAATAATAGATTTTCAATATTTTTAAGTTGAAAGTAGTAGGTATGATAACACTTTTGATTTGAATAAAGAAAATTTCAGCTTAGACGGAAATCTGGTATAAAAATACATTATGTAATAAATTTTACTCATCTCAGGACATAGGCAAAATAGACAACCAAAAAATGTACAGTAAAATAAAAGATAAGATAAACCACTGAATATAGAACAATTTATTTATCAGTTCCCTGTTTAGTACAAATTGGATGAATCATGCACTAACTGGGAAATCTGAATTTGAAATCGGAGTTCGACAATAATTATCATATCAAATCGAAATGCTTTTCCTTTCTCAAGAAATTTTGGAGGATCGATTGAAACTAAGAGTAACATTAGAGTAAATATTTCAATTGTCGATGCGATCAAGACTACAGTGATAGCGTTGACATCGAAATCCGTTGACTGCAGAACCTTCAACAACTTAAATTAATATTTCAGAGGTATTACAAAAAATTTCCTGACAATATACTAAGATAACTCTGCTGAAAGCATCGGACAATCCAATTGTGTGAAAGTGATATGTGGAGGCGAAAGTTACTTAGTTAATACTTAATTTATATATATATTCTTTATCATCTTTCTTATCAGTATTGAAATATGAAAGCTTACAACATGAATATACATTTATAGTAAAACTTACTATGTGTTCGGAAATCATTAACGAAAAAATGGCTTCTTCTATTCGATTGTCTGGAATGTATCTATTTGTAGGATATCGGTATGGAATTAGTTGTGCATCCTAATATCAAAGAAAATATATGATGAAAACAAAACAGTAGAATACTACAAAATACAAGTAATTTTCTGTGAACTGTTCAATCATGAATTACAGCGTGAATAAAAAAAACATGGTGAAATAAGCTTTGAACTGGAATAATGCTGAATAAAGTATGATAATTCATACTATGTACCTAGGACAAGACTATTAAGATAAAAATACTTCATCACTAAACTACGTTTAACATATTAAATTCAAAATGTAGATAACATGGAAATATACGGTAACTTAACAAATCATCACATCAAATAAAAACGAATAAATTAACTGATTTATACGGTATTTTGGGTTCGAATCATACTTTATGTATGATTGGCTAGTGATACTACCAGGTTGATCAAACCGAAGTAGGTAGAGAGGTGTTCAAGACTGGGACTTAGTGAATAGAAATTAAACGCCTTGGACATTAGCCCCCGCCACACACACATTATCAACCAGTGAACTCATTTGTTAAGTTTTACGACTGAAAATATACAACATAAATTTGTAAATTACGTTCAAGTATGCCGCTTTTATTCAGAATATAGTCTTGTATTTCATAAAAATCTAGGCAAACTAAATAAAGGATACTTTTTAACTGACTCTTAGTTGGGAAATAATTTAGCCAACGGGCACGTTGACTAACAAAGCGACCATGGTTTCTGTGACGACAAATCTACTGAGTGTTGTTTTGTAATTTTGGAATGACCATTTGAATATGTAGTAAATATATCAGACGAAACAAAGACTGGTTTATTTCGTAACTTCTCGTTTATTAATTGAAGGAGGGATTGTGAAAAGTATAAATATACTTTGGTCATAGAACTCATAATAATCAGTATTGAATGATATAACCGTTATACTGACAAGTAGATATATTACGGTACAGATAGTTACTGCCCATGATTTTCGTTTACAATTGGGAAAATAAGGTGAGTCTTTTTTAATGGCTTTACCTCTTTCGAGACGGAATGTGGCAATATAAGAGAACTGTTTGTCAGCGACTACGTACAGGTTTCTAAGCGAGTCAGAGGTTATAGATACGTAAGCATATAACCACTTTTATGCCCGTGTACTGCAAATTATTACTTCGTAATTCTCGAACTAGGTTATGTAATGAATTGGATAGACATATGCATTTGCTGCGGCAACTAAACTTCCTACACTAAGTACCAGTAGCATTTATGGAGACTAAGTATCAATAATAAGATTGTTTGACTGACTTTTAAAAAAGAGCCTCTACGGCATCTGTTTAAGATTTGAATGATTTAAAATGATTGATATTTTAGGTTGATTAGTCCTAAACACCAGGACCTCGAAAAGACATTCCATACCTTTTCTTGCATGTATTTGAAAACTGAAGGTATGTATATTTAGTATAAATCAAGTGGAAAACTTGTTTCTCTAAAACAATGAAAGTACAGAAGGAAACATTTGTTGAATCAAAATAAAAATGAGTGGTTTAAATCAATAGCAAACCTTATCTGTTGAGGAATCTTGATCCATTGATGTATTATACTTGTGATATGTCTTTATGCATACACTCCGTAACAGCAGTTCAGAAAATCGTAAGGATAAAGCTCGTCTAAGAGACCTGGTAGCAGGCAACTCACAGTACCCAAGAATAGTTCGATACTTCGAAATAGCACCAGATATGTCACTTGGAGAAAATAAAAATTTAGAGGCAAAACAGTTGTGTCAATCGAGATCGCAAATATCAAATATATTTTTATTTTATACGGTCAAATGTTAACCATCTTCACCTTTTGAGAGTCCGGAATCCGGATCTTAATGAAACAAACCCAAGAATTACTCTGCCATTACAAATCACACAAGAACAATATCTACCTTAATTTTTTTAGAACAATTTTTCTATTATATATGGTACCGAAATACGAAGCATGATGTCAAACCAGATGCTAATGGGGAACGGTAATCTGAAATAATGGCCATATGTGCCAGGCTTTACGTCGCGTACAACTGACAAAATAATTAGTTTGGTTTATTAGTACCATATGAGGACCTAATTTAAACTGGAGTAGCATCTAAGCCCTTCAATAGAGGTCCTGCTCCTGTTTTTAAAAGGTCACACTACTCAATGCTTGAATGCCTGTAGTGAGGCATCACAGAAAGATCCGAGTGGTACATACAACCAGCGCCAGCTAATAAATGAATAACCAGCTGGAGATTTTATTGAGGACGTAGGTGGGAAAGTTTACGATATTCGTAGGTCATAAACACTAAGGATGGCTTTCAGATATACTCTGTGCGTGCTTGACTTACGAATTCGCAATGCAGAATTAGTTGCTACTGTTGTTAGATTTGCTAAAGATGGGTGTTAATGAGAAATCTTAATAATCAATTTTAAAAATATTGTTGTTTATTTGAATGCAAAATAGTAAACTGGCAAACCTCCTTTCTGAGTTATACCATGACAGCTCTTTAAATAGTATACTTAATCCAAACATTACTACGAAATGCTGACCCGGTATTACTAAATTACATTGCTCGTTACAAGTTATTATTATTTATTTTATTTTAACACATAGATATTGGTACGAGGCACCAAATACATATGCGCCACACAGATCTCATTTGATATGTGTGGGCTGTGATACTGCCCAGGTGCCCAAACCGAAGCAGGTGGTTTTCTTAGGAGGCCACACCCGGAGCCTTCGACCTGAAGGTCTGATCCATAAGGCAGTGGAGCAACGTGAGGAGATGCAGTCCCATGGTAGCCGGTGACCAACGATTGGTTCATACGCCTTTTGTTCCTTCAGGATACAGGAGCCCATGTGCACCACTGGTTTGGAATCAGGGTTTCCCAACTCCCCTAGGTGGACTCTCCATGTCCACCAACCCGGTTAAATCGCCGGACGTTCGCTTTTCGTCCTCTCAATTTTATAAACACCCCCTCGCCACGAGAAAGCAGTGAGTAGGACTTCCCTGGCAGAGGTTATATACGCGTGGCCATGTGAGAGCATTTTGAGAGGGAGAGCGGACTCTTCCCACTCTCGGTCGTACCAGGGCATTTGGGGGCCTCGTTACAAGTGACAAAGTGATGCTTGTAAGGAACAGTCCACGGTGTAGTATACTACATCAGAGTATAAAGCTAGGAAAAGGTTATCGGAAATGTAGAACAAAATCTGTAGAACATGATAATAAAGAAAAAAGTCTTTATGGTATAAGAGCACTGTAAAACGAATAGGCAATGTAAACGACGGTATACACTACAGTAGACACATAAAGGGGATACACTGAACCATTGTCTATTTTAAGATAGAAGATCAAGGATCAAGATACAATAGTTATTAGTGACATCATAAGTGATCACCGCCAAATGATGCATCATAGCACTCTCGAATCCGATTTACCAGAAGGAAAATGTCAGCAACTTTAAATATACATAGACGGCTTAAAAGTACTTGCTTTTTGTATTGTTAAGTGGATAAACTATATTGTCCTTACCTCAAAAATTTTGCACTTTCCATAAGAGTGCACTAATTATGATGTTTTGCTTATTTGGCTGTTATATAGGACGTGAAATTTAGGCAATAGCCTAGCTCCCTTAAATGTTTGTATTTCAGAAGATAAAATTACAATGCTTGACTGAAATTCTGAATGTTTTCTAGCTCATCAGTCTGAACCTTTTCCTGTTTTTTATAGATTTCCACAAGAATATTTTCCGACACCTCTTATGACATATCACCAAATTAGATACAAATCTACAACTAATCATAACTTCATACAAAACAGGACTGTTGAGAGTTGCCGCAAATCGAAACAGCACTTAAAAATTGGTTGACTACACCCAGTAATACTTAAGAGTGATACAAAATATTATTAACATATCGTTCTGAAAATGGCAAACATCAATTGCTTTGTTTGGTAAACACAAACATATCATGTGCCAAAGAACTTAGAAGGCAAAACAAAAATACTTCTTTACCCCTTTTTAATCAGAATTTCCGGAATCTTTTGTATGACTTTTTCTACAATCGGTGGCAGACTGACAGATGAATTGGTATGCTCTGGTTGAGTTCGATCTAATTCCTGAAGATGTTTTATGCACATGTGACAAGCTAAGTTGAATAAATTAATGATATTGTCTCTCTCTTTTGATATGTCAGATAGGCTTTTTAGCTTTGACTGTTCTTCTTTGCACAAACCTGTGAAGTCAAAACTAGTTGAGTAAAAGAAGCATACCCAATACAGCCAAACCTTCACTAACGATGTAATTGAAACGCAGTGTAATAGGGTCCATTTTGGCAGATAACAAATTGAGGGAACTTAAAATCTTAAGAGCTTTTTCACTATTCCCCTGTAGATAGTATATTTTCCCAAGAAGGACAGATGCCTCAAATTTATATTGCTCGTCATTCCCATTCATAACCTCTTCCGCATACCTCTTAGCCTTGGATAAATTTTCTGGTGGTAATTCACCTTGATCGTTCCATTCTAGTTCATTTTCACAAAGTATTAGCTGATTTAACATATCTATTACAAGCAAAATATATAATTTTTTAAAATTTTCCTACGGAGAGACGTGGAGCGGTCGGATCCATGAGATAGGATTACTTCTAAGGCCTTATTCCAAAAGCCCTCAGAACGGTATCGCTCAACATCTATCTCGATTTTACCCTTTTTAGTTTTAACAGCCTTCACCGTAGACATCCCATTGAAAGACCGCCAGGAATATGAGGATGAAGTATGACGCAACGCCTCAATTTTTAGAAACCAATTTATTGGTGTTTTCTCATGTATGCTTCACTTCGAATGAATGACGATTTCGACGAATATCATATGGTGTAAACTATTGGTTTTAAATGTTTTGAGATTCAGATTCAGATTTGTAAAGTAAGTATAGAAAGCCTACAATCATTGATGTGGCGTTAGATAAATCCCCAAACTAAACAAATCTGTAAATCTTCGACATCGGATGCTGACCACTTTAGCTTTATTGGGCTCACCTAACTGAAGGCGCTCGGTCATGCATCCAAACCAGATCACGAGTGGTGACGCCGTGCTCAACATCCCCTGCAATCGCTAGCCAGATTAGATCAGTCGATCCTCGATATACTGATAGCGTATCAAATATATCTTTGAACCTTCTCGCTTCCGTCTTTTGATTTTCCTTGGTGGGTACGATTCATATTAGGTGTTACTGGTTAAAGTGTTGTCGAACTTCAAATACCTTTGGCATCTTCATTGGTCAGCTCGACGTGAACTGATGCACCAAACTGTAAAGTGTGGGTCTGTCCTTCCATGGAATTCTGTATATCGTTGCTTTATTTCGTTTTTTTATATATTGTGATATTTCTTCCGTGTTTTTGGACAATATTTATATATTTTTTCTTCCTCGTCCGTTCTCGCACTTGATATTTCACCATGACTGAACAGACACTCAAAGTACTTTAGTTAAAGACTATGTCCCCACTTTCATTCCATCTGATTCCCTTCTTGCCGGAAAACATCGAAGCCTGGTTCTGCTACGCAGAAGTCAACTTCCACGAGCGCGGCTTGAACGACACACGTTCACAATTCCTCGCAGTAGTCAAGGCACTACCACGCGAATTCAACAGGTACGTAACACCTAGTATGTTTACTGGTGATGTTTCGGAACCTTATTAAACACCGAAACGTTCTATCATTAAATGCGGAGACCTAACCGATAGACAGAGGTTAGACCGACACCCTAGTAACATCGACCTGCAACACGGTTCTGCGGTGGACATGTTGCAACGAATGAGAGAGGTTATCGACCCAAGAACCTTCGATGATGACCTACTCAAACAACTTTGCTTATCCATACTTCCTCAGCAGGTGCAAGTTGAGCTGGTCTCGTTTCAAAACAGCGCCTTAGACGAGCTGGCTACACCACCAAATCTTCCAACGTCAAGTTTTTTTCAGTCAAAGAAAAACCTCAAGCGACACAGAAGGACATTGTGGAACTGTGTCATCCACTGACACGTTACCTGCGAGTTCGTAACGACCGTAAACGGTCACATATCCCGCGAAGAAACACTTCATGCAAGAAATCTGTCTCTTAACCATGGGAGACGGATAACCCCGATTGGTGCTGGTATCATACCCAGTATAGGAAATCTTCTAGAGACTGAAAAAACTGCAATTTTCCGAATCAAAAACCAACCGACACGAAAAACAAATCGAGAAACTTCCAAGCCAGCACGCGTTAACGGCAACCGTAGCCGGCGACACATAGCCGTCTGTTATACGTCACAGACGTGATAACGAAAGTTCGCTACCTCGTCGGTACTGGCGCAGAAGTTAGAGTTCTTCCTAAAAGTTCTAACGACCGGCTTCGCGAATCATTTTTAAACTTACAAGTGGCAAACGGAAATCCTATCGCCACATACGGTAAAAGGTACGTTTACCTTAGCGTGCGTTTACGCAAGCCCATTCACTGGATCTTCGTTGTTGCAGATGTTTCTATGCTAATCATTGCTATAGACCTCTTACAACATCATAATCTACTCATCGATACTCGCAATCGAAGGCTAGTATACGGAAACACCAATTTATCTGTTTGCGTAACTTCTTCTGGTTGCAGATTATCTCTCGTCACACTTAGACACACGATAGACCCGTTCTGTCAACCACTACTCAATAAGTATTCTAGGATATACCAAACGCAACCGAAATTACAGTGTGTAACTAGCAATGTTACATATCACATCACGACTACTGCACCACCTGTATTCTCCAAAACACGTCGACTAGCCCCCAAAAAGCCAAGGTTGGCCAAAAGCGAATTCGACCACATGACAGAGTTGGGAATCATACGACCATCAAACACCCCATGGGCATTTTCGCTGCACATGATCCCTACAAAGGGCAGCACCGATTGCCATCCAACTCGTGACTATCAGCGATTGAATGCAAAAACCATTTCCGATCGTTACTCGTTGCCTCATATTCACGAATTACAGCTACCTTGAAAAATACAACTATCTTTACGAAAATCGACTTGGTTAAATCTTATAACCAAACCCCTGTGGCTACTGACGACATTCCAAACACCTCTATCATAACTCCCTTCGGACTCCATGAATTTTCGTGAATACCCTTTGGTCTAAGAAACGCTGCACAAACATTCCAAAGGTTCATAGACGACTTTTTTCGAGGTCTCAACTTCTTACATGTGTATGTTCATGACTGCCTAATAGCAAGTCCGGACAGAGAATCGCATATCAAGCATCTGGATCTTGTTTTCGAACGACTACAAAAACATGGCATTACTGTAAACATTCAGAAATGCTAAATCGGAACTGACTCATCAGACTTCCTGGGACACACTATTGATTCGCAAGGCATTCGACCCCTTAGAACCAAAGTGGCAGCCATTCTGGATTACCCAGGACCGACCACCGTCAAGCAATTGCGCACGTCTAACAGCCTTGTAAGTTTCTATAGACGATTCATACCGAAATGCGCGTTACTCATGAAACCACTAACCGACCAACTTCGTAGAAATGCGAAATCCATCAAGCTGGATGACACTGCGCGTAAAGCATTCTCTACAGTTGAGGAACTTATCGCTCAAGCAACAATGCTTGTTCTTCAGGACACTGAAGCTTCCATTAGTATTGCAATAGACGCATCTGACTCAGCAATCGGAGGAGTCTTACAACAATGGGTTAACCACTCCTGGCAACCTTTGGCATTCTTCTCGAGACGGTTGCTAGACACTGAATCGGGGCACAGCACTTTCGGTAGGGAACTCCTAGCTATGTACTGTGCTGTACGGCATTTTCAACACTATCGAAGGCCGAGAATTCACTCTTTTCACCGACCATAGACCGCTCACATACTCTCTAAGTTCTCCTTCAGACAAGTACTCTCTCCGTGAGTCTCAACAACTGGACTACATTTCGCAGTTCATTTCAGACATTCAACACATCTCTGGAGCAAACAATGTAGTTGCAGACGTCTTATCTCGCATAACTTCCTTGAACAGTTTCCAAGGAATCGACCTTCTGAAACTCGTCAAGCTTCAAAAAGAAGACACTGATCTTCAGCACGAGTTATCGTCTACAACCCTTAAACTACGCATCAAACAGATGTGAACAGGTAAGGAAACCTTACTTTCTGACACATCTACAAGTAGGGATCGTCCAATCGTTACCCGAAACATTATCGAAGCAACGTCTTGAATACGTTGCACAAACTTTCTCATCCAGGTGTTCGTGCAACCATCAAGCTTATAGTAGAACAGTCTTGCTGGCCTGGTATGAATAAAGACGTGAGGGAATGGGCACGCTCCTGTGTAAGCTGCCAAAAATCTAAGGTTATCAGACACAACAAATGTTCCTTAGGCTCTTTCGAAACTCCCGACGCTCGTTTTGACCATGCTCACCTGGATTTGTTAGGACCTTTACAAAAATAAACTGGATACTCTTATCTCTTAACCTGTGTAGACCGTTTCACTCGATGACCAGAAGCAGTACCTATCAAGGACATCATTGCTGAAACAGTGACCCGCGCCTTCGTCGAACGATGGGTAGCGAACTTCGGCTACCCTTCAACTATCACAACAGATGGTAGACGCCATCTAGAACCTGAACTTTCCCGTCATGTGATCACACTACTAGGAATCACTCGCTTCCGAACAACCGCCTTCCACCCACAAGCAAACGGGTTGGTTCAACGTTTCACCGACAACTAAAGACTTCACTATCAGCTGCTAACTTTTCACGGTGGACCGACCGTCTTCCACTCGTCCTACTAGATATTCGCAATGCAGTGAAAGCTGACATTGGATACACTGCAACCCACCTGGTTTACGGAACAACACTTCTACTTCCAGGAGAATTCGTGGGTCCTTCATCGTCTCCAATTAACATGGATCTGACCTCCTACACGAACAGGCTTACAAACGCAATGCGTTCAGTTAAACCTGGTTCCACCCAACCACAATCAACTGATGTTTTCGTTCAATCTGACTTACGATTAAGTACACAAGTCTTTGTACGTCAAGACTTACATCAACGACCTTTCGAATGAGCGTACGAAGGACCCTTCAAAGTTCTAAGTACTATATAATCGATAAGAACGGAACCAAAGCAGAGTATTTAGAAGGAAATCCCATCCACGTCGATTTTCCTTCGGTACATTCGAAAAACACGAATTCTTCACCCATGATACTTCATCCGACAGACAATACGCACGATGATACATTGACAGTATATGAAAACAAAATTAAAACAGAGCGTTCTGGAAAAAGAGTAAGATTTTCATAAGATTTAAATGATTATTGCGCGTAAGATACCTGTTAACATTTTGTTTCACCCCGATTATGCTTATATTTATATATTTATTGAAAAAAGAAACAAATTTTTTTTGCTGATACGTAAATATTTAATTTTTTTCTTAAAATACACCAAAGAAATTCTTTAAAAATCACTTTTACGTTATCGCATGTACATGAGTTTGTAGAATTATGGTATACTATGATATTAGTACTGCTCTAATAATAGACCTAATCCTAAATTTGTAGATTCGTCATGATATAACTGCCTAATCTATAAGATCTTACGTGGAAGTCACACCATCGACTACGCCAACTCACTGTATCGTATCAATTACCAATACATGATGAAGAAGAAGGTTAGGTTAGAGAAGGAACAATATATTTAATATGAATAGAGACCACGCCTGCATGGCCGAGCCATGCCACTCGATCAACTCCAGTCCATTCAATTCATTCTCCGCGCCTTCTCCATTGTTAGGTATTTCTCCGCGTTAAATATTGAATATCTATTTTCTGAGTAGTCTCGTGTTCACAGCTTTGTAGATTGTGTGGCTTTTGTCCAATGCCACTACACTA